GGAATGCGAATGTTAGGAATAACATTAAAAAACCTATAATCAACTAATCAGGCATGTTCTGAAAATCGTACGATTTCAAATCGGTGCGATTTACAAAATCTATTTCGAAGGATTAATAACAAAGAGAAAAATTTGGCACTAAATCGATGGATATAACGCAAATGAGGTGTTTCTGGCAGTTTCCATTTGAAACATCTAATACTTTGATTACAAATATAAAACAATACTTTGCAAATCGTACCGAGAGCGAAAATTGCAACGTATTGGATTGTAAGTGAAAAATGGATTCAGTGTCAACATGTATATTAGCTGTTCTGTGTTAACATGTATTTTCAATCTTTATATATATACATATATATTTTTTTTATTAAAACATCAAATTTGTGAAACCAAAATTCTATTTCAAAGTGTTTGCATTTAAGTGTCGACAACAAGAACCACTTGAATCAGCTATTTCTCAAATTCTGGACCCGAAATGTGGTTTTTTGCGTGGAAATTTTTCGTTTATTCTCTAATTACCGGATCCGGTCCGGGTTGTACGGGAAAGAACCTACTATTTATCAACAAATCAGCTGTTTCCTAAACGCAGATACATGTGTAAGCGTGGTCTGCCGGGCAAAGTTATTATGCAGATTTGTGTGCAGATGACATAATATTTTTTACGAAATCCGTCCGACTTAAAAAAGAATGGCTCATATGTGTTTTTTTACGAACTAAACCCCCTACTGGAACTGGTTGCAGTCCACCCTTACGCTTCAATTGGTAAATTCCAGGTTAAAGATGAGGTATGTGAGCACAGGTTTCTAAGCCGCACTGTATTGGCGGCTGGAACGGCCTAGGGTACAGTCCGCGTTTACGCTTTGGTTGGTGAACTTCGCGGTTTGGTTCCAATTCGCTTTCAGTGGGTTCAATCACGGGTGATACGCTGCGATCTCTCTAGACTTCTCAGTTGTTTCAGAGCTGAAGTTACTATGTCGCTGATTAATGCCCAGTCATGGCTCCTTTCAAAAGCTTTAAACACCCCTCCAACGGCTAGTCTCAATTGCCTTATTGAATCGTTCTTCAACGCCACTTCCGCAGCAGTATCTGTGACCTTGTCACTGTTACTCAAAAGTCACGGGTAACGGCTGTGGCAACTTCCAAATAGTCACCGTGACAGACTGTGTCAAAGGAGCAGCTTGTGAGCAGATGTTTTTGTAGTAGGATTGCGCTGCTACAAACTGTGACTAAAGTAACAGTCGCAATTACATATCGAGAAACTGCCACCAGTTATTTAACACTAAAATCAGATTAATTTAGTTTGCTATTCGAATTTCACACCATTAAAAACGAATGTGAATGACCAAAACAAAGGACGAAAATAGTCAGTGATGTCAAATAAATAAATAATGCAACTTTTTTGTCATTGTTTTTGTCACAGTCACGGATGAAAATCACTGTGACTGCAAAGTCACAGTAACAAATAACGTTGTTCTTCAAAAGTTACGAGATCGCCCATCTCTAATTTCAATTGTACTATTACTATAAAAAATTTCCTTTACAAAATCTCCCAAAGGTCAGTTTAGTTTTTCTTAAATTTTCTTTTTCTGCAATTTTTTTCGACTCTAAAAACCTTTCTTGTACACAACAAAAAAGAAAATTCAATAGGACCATCAGTTCTAGAGTAATGGGCTGTTTTTGCTTACGCGTAAAAGCACATTTAGCGCATTTAGGTCTAAATGCTACTCCAAATATATATGGGGCATTTCACCTCAAGTGACCCAACTTTTGAAATCTATGTC